TCCCTCCCAATTCAGGACGTTTTGTACTTCTAAATACCAGCTTCTGAGGGCTTGTTTTCATCTTCTCACATACTCAGTGCTGACCAGACTGGTTGTTACCCTTGTTCCACCATAGATGCTGCTACAGATCGCTGATGACTTTATTGAGAGTGTGGTGACAGCCGCCTGCCAGCTTGCACGGCATCGCAAATCCAACACTCTGGAAGTCAAAGATGTCCAGTTGCACCTTGGTGAGTGACTCTTACCTGTTTGTTTTCCCTTCTACCCCCAGCTCTCAGCTCCTCCTGGAGTCAGGGCGCAGGTGCAGTGCTGTGGTGGAAGCCTGTGAGTAGATAATATATCCCTGCCTGTGGCAAGGGGTTGGAAATGGATGAGCTTTAATGTCTCCTCCAACTGAAACCATTCTGTGAATTCTAGAGCGCCAGTGGAACATGTGGATCCCAGGCTTTGGTTCTGAGGAGATCAGGCCCTACAAAAAAGCCTGCACTACAGAAGCTCACAAACAGGTAAGGAGCCCTCACAACACCAGGAATTACTAGGAATTACATGGAAGGCTGGTATGAGGATGGTGGTCATAGCCTCCTGGCACTGAATTAGTGGCCTCTTCCAAGTAATTCAGACCGGAAATTACTTCCAGAGCCTCCTGATCTGTTTGTGCAGTGGGCAGAGGTTGCTGTGTCTCCTCAGCTATGTTGGCTTTGCCCAAAGAGAAGCAGCAGCTCTTGGTGCTGAGGAGCTTGGAAGGGTTAAAACCAACTAGGAGCTGCACACAGGCACTTCTCAGCTGCCCCTGGCAACTCCATCTCTGTGCAAAGGGACTGAAAACACCCTTCATTTTGCTTTTAAGCGGCATTGGACCATTGGTTTTTAAGCCTAGAAGGAGCTGCCCTGCAGTGGGTTCATGGGTGATGCTGCAACTCCCACTGGGCAGAGAGGGTACCTTGAGATGGGCTTTGATTCCACTGGCCCAGGTTGCCAAGGGGAGCAGCACAGATACTTCCTTCTCCTCTTCAGCCTGGAACCCCATTAAGGTTCAAACAGACCTGAAAGACCTGCGTGGAAGCAAGTCAGGCAGCGTCCTGGGAACACCTGGGATGCCTTGTTTCTGCTGTGGGTGGTTGTGCAGTCACCTGCTCTGAGCTGCTCAGCTTCCCATGGTTTTCCCTCTCTTGTTGCAGAGAATGGCACTGATCCGCAAAACTACCAAGAAATAGCCCCTGGACAGAGCCAGAGACGCCACCAGTGCAGTTTGGGATACCTGCCGCTCCATTGAAGCTTCCATGATGTCATCTGTGGGATATTTTTTAATGCTTTACAGAGAAGCATCTATTTTTTATTAACAGTGCAGCAATATCTTTACTTGATGAGGAGACCTGCCAAAAACAGTCTACACGCTGTTCTCGTTCCTCCTCAGAGTGCAACAGTCTCAAACAGACTTACATTTGTGACTTGAAAGTGGTTTATCGTACAAGGGTTTATGCAAGGGACAGAGCATTTGATCGTGTGTGGGACAGTATTAGAAGCATCTGTAGAGGTTTTTGTTTCCTCCTTCCTGCCCCTACCTGCTCCAGTACTTTGTAATGTCAGTGTTTATATAAATCCTTGAGTTCGTTTTACATGAATAAAGAAATTAATCTAAGCTGCTGGCACAGGCTTGTGCTCTTTAGGCAGCATTGCACAGGGTGGCAGGGGAGGGTACCTGTCACCTCGGCTCTGTATGTGGTGCTGTTCTGTGAGGGATCTCCTGAGAGTTTACAGGGAGCAGAATCATGGAATATCCTGAGCTGGAAAAGATCCCCAAGGATTATTGAGCCCAACTCCTGGTCTGCCCAGGATGCCCCACCAATCCCACCCTAAGCCTAAGAGCACTGTCCAATGCTCTTTGGAGCTGTGGCAGACTTGGGGCTGTGCGTATTCCCTGGGGAGCCTGGTCATTGCCTGAGCACCCTCTGAGGGAAGAGCTGTTTCCTAATACAAAATCTCTCCCTCCCTTGACATAGCTTCAGCTGTTCCCTTGAGTCCTGTCTCTGGTCACAGGGAGCAGAGATTGGTGTCCCTTATGAGGAGCTGCAGATGCTGGTGAGTCTCCCATTTCCTCCAGGGTGAACAAACCAAGTGCCCTTAGCTGCTCTTACAGAGGTTTCCTCCCCTCCAGACCCTTCTAGACCACAAAGATTTGGCCAGTCCCTCACCTACCAGTCAGGATGACCAGGTCACTTCCCTCCTGACCTCCAACCTATTGCTGGGATATTTGGACTGTTGGGAGGGAGATGTTGTGACAGAGCAGGAAGTCAGAGTCCCCCAGATTCTGTCTGTACCTGGACACTGAAAAGGCCACATGCCCCTGACTGTTCCTGTTGCTCTGCTCAGACCTCAGGGAAGCTGTGGGGGCTGTTGTGGGGATGCAGGAGTTGACAGCACTGCAAATCCCTGCATGACAGGAAGGTTCCTGCAGCCCTAGGCAGAGCTGGACTCATCCTCCTTGTCCAGCGCTCTGGACGCTCCCAGTACCTGCAGGGGAAACCAGGGTGGGTGAAGTGATTCCATGACCATCCAGGGCTCACTCCTCATGTCGCTGTGGGATGAGGAGCCTGGGGAGCTCCTTTCTGCAGACTTGTAGAGAGGGTTTTTTTTTTTTTTTTTCAGATGATATTGTATGAAGATTAATCTGAAAGGGAAAGTGGGCATTTCCTTAGAATGGTATGTGGTTATTTTTGCTTTGGACTCAACTAGGCATGTACTCAGCCAGAGTGGTACATACATCATCTGAGTTCCATGATAAATTTGTCACTTTTAATTATATTTGGAAAGACTTAAAGATTTAGGGCTTTATGATTGGGATCTCAGTCAGTACAAGAGAGAATAGGGGAAGGGGTGACATTGACCTCTGCAGGCCTGTGGAGTTCCACCTGGGGACTTCACCCTTCCAACATACTTCCTTTTTCCCAGGAAAACACAGGCAAGCAGAGGGTGACCAAAGGTATTTAATATAGCTATGCCTCCCCTGTCTGCGCCTGGCTGCTCCATATCCACTTCCCCTCCTGAGCCCAGCATGTCCTGCCTTGCCAGTGTTCCCCGCTCTAGCATGAGCATCTCTTCTGCTTCTCCTCCTTCTCCAGTGCCTGAGCCTTGGGCAGTACCAGCCGTGGGGTGCTGCTCTTTACCCCATCCCACGCCTCGCTGGCCACCAACCGCCCCATCTGCAGCGCTTGGTAAATGGCCACCGTCAGCATCTGGAAGGCCTGCACCACATTGGAAGCGTCTTTGGCTGAGGTCTCCACGTACTGGACACCCAGTGAGGCTGCCAACTTCTCTGCCTCCCTCTGGCCCACCTGGCGCTGCCCAGCCAGGTCACTCTTGTGCCCCACCAGCAGAAAGACCATTCGGAAGGGCTGAATTGTGTCAGTCACCTCCTGGTGCCATCGCCGAATGCTCTCAAAGGACGTGCGGTTGGTGATGTCGAAAAGCAGCATCCCCCCAGCAGAGTTGCGGTAATACGAGCGAGTCACAGACCTGGGATGGGGACACCAAGAGCAGGGGAGTGAGTGGCCCCTGGGATTTCGTGTGCCACCTCAGGCAGCATGTTCTCTGCCTACAGAGTGGCCCTGTCTAGGACCTGATCCTGCAAGCAGCACCTTGCGCTCAAAGCACCATGAGAGGAGCGAGAATCAGCCTTTTGCTGTGTCAATAAGAGCTCCAGGGGCAGCTCTGTCCATGCTCAGCCACCAAAGCTCATCTGTCTCCTGCAGCCACAGCCCCCCAGTGCCCCTGTGTCTGCAGCCATGTCCCCAGGGCTCCACCATCCCTGCTGTCATGGTCCTGGAACTCTTCTGTCCTTGCTGCCATGTCCCCAGTACTTTCCTATCTCTGCTGCGAAAGTCCTGGAACTTTCCCATTCCTGCAAACCCAGATCTGCCACTCTCCCATCCCCTGCAGCCACATCTCCCAAGCTTTCCTGTCCCCAGGAGCTGCCTAGCTGGTGGAGGCAGCCCCACAGTGAGGTGTGAAGGCTCCTAGCAGCTGATCTGAGGAAGATATTTTGCCGCACACTCGGTGGGCTCCCAGCTGTTTCCCAGCCCCTCTGCAGCTGGTGTGGCAGGGGGGTTCTCGGGGGAGTACTATACCCCTTTTAAGAGCTGGAGCAAGGGCTCACAAGGCAGTCCCAGGGGCTCCTTTCCTTTGGCTTTTGACATGGTGGTTTCTCACCCAAAGGGACAAGTGGGAACACAGCCACGTCAACAACCTCCTAAGGCTTGGAATCACAACACTCCACCCCAAATCTGGAGGGGGACACCCATCTCCACCACCCTTCACAACCCAATGGACCTACCTGAACCTCTCCTGCCCGGCTGTGTCCCAGAACTGCAGCTTCACTTGCAGCCCCGGCTCCAGCTCCACGAATTGTACGTAGAAGTCCACCCCCACTGTCTGGTTGACAGCGTCCAGGAAGACACCCTCGGTGTAGCACCGCAACAGTGAGGATTTCCCCACTGTCGAGTCCCCCAGCATGATTACCCGGAACTGGTACTGCCACCGTGGCTCCATCGGTGCCTCTGCCGGCTGCCAGGACCTGCCACCCCCGCACCAGGAGCATGTTCAGGCAGGCAGGGAGCTCCTCCACCCAGGAGGCGTTCCCAGTACCATCAGTGCTGTGTGGCCCCTTTGGAGCCCCTTTGTCCCTTTTATTTTGGCTCCATCCAGCTGGAAGCACTGACGGGTGCCTGCTCCCATTTTCCTATGGACAGGACACCCTGAAAAGTGTCCCAGACAAGGGGAGCTGTTGCACCACCAGTGATGCCCCCCAAAGAAGAGGATCCCCCATACCATGGATTGAGTGCTGTGTCCCTGCCTGGGATGCAGTGCTTGGCACAGCCTTTATTTAGTGTGGAAAAGCCATAGGTTTATTTAAAACACTCCTACAGCAGAGTACTATTTTTTCAGAGCCTCCAACTTAAGGTTTGAAATAAACCCAAACCCAGGGGGGAGACCCAGCCCCATAATCACCTAAGGGCTGCAGGTGCTGGCTGGAGAGAGAAGCATCCCCACAATTTGGGGTCCCACGTCCCCCTATCCCCATCAGCACTGGCAGCGCTGCCGGGGTCCCTCCCTGCCAGGGGCTGGTGGTGACTCTGGTTGGGGCAGAGCCTGATGCCATCACATCCCTGGTGTGGGGCAAGGATCCCCCTGCCCAGTGCCTGCTGGATACCTCCAGCCAGTGTCTGGAAGGCCAACTCCACGTTGAGGTTGCTGAGGGCCAAGGTCTCCACAAAGGCCATGCCCAGAGTGGTAGTGAGGTGTCCAGCTTCCTCTGCTGACATGGCTCGCTCAGCCACCAGGTCACACTTGTGTCCCACCAGGACAAAGGCAGGCACCGGTTCCCCCCAGCCTCGTGATACCACTCAGGAACGTGCTAAAAAGATGACCGGTTGGTGAGGTCAAACACCAGCAGCACCCCAGCTGCACTCTGATAGAAGGACCTGGTGATGGATCTGGGCATACCCAGCAGGTTTTCAAAGGATACTGGGAAGCTCTAACACGGACAACCCTAGGATGGGGCTTGGGAGATTTTTGGGTGACAATAATCAGGAGTGGGAAATAGAGACCTGTCTTAGCCATTTACACAACCATTTTCTGTTCAGCTTCCCTCTCCCCAGACTGGGTGGCTCCAGAGGAAACCTTTGGGGGTTTCAGGGACTCTGTGGTACCGTTTATCCCCGCAACAGCCCCAGATGCAGTGGGAATGGGGCAGCACTGGACAGAAATATGGCACCACCAGAGCCAACCCTGGGCTCCCCAAAAGGTTCCCAGGGATGGAGAGGGCCTGGGATCCCAGCTCCAGCCACAGCACTTTGGTCTTCAGCCCTTTGTGCCCCATTTGAACCTCTCTCATGCTCCCAGGTGCTCCTGGCTTCAGCCTGATAAAATCAGGAAAGAAACCACCCAGCCCCAGCCCACCAGGACCCAGGACCAAGCACCCAGCCCTGCTCCCTTGCTGCTCCCCTGAACAGCTCCAGCATCACTGCAAGCTCAGCACAAGGTGTCACTGGCCCCTAAAGTATCACCATCCCAGTGAGCCATTGCTGCCTGTCCCTGCACACCCAGCTGGGGATTTACAAATGCCCCAGGATGGCAGGAAGACTCAGTGCGGTGCTGGGGCCCGCATACCCACCTCACCTGAACCGCTCCCGACCAGCCGTGTCCCACAGCTGCAGCTTGGCCTTGCCAATGGGTGGCATCAGGATAGTCCGGCTGTAGAACTCGACGCCGACGGTGGGGCTACTGGTGGCTGCCCCACCAGGACCCCCACCTGGCCCATCAGTGAAGCAGTGCAGGAGTGAGGACTTGCCCAGGCTGTGCCTCCCAGCATGATGACACGGAACTGGAAGTGTCCCTCAGAGTCAGGATCCTGGGGGAAATCTGTCACTGTCTCCATGGCTGAGCTGACCAGATCCTGACCCACTGCATTCCTGCCATGCTGGTAGCGACAGGACAGGTCTCCACCTTTGTCCCCACCCCACCTGAGGACAGGGACAGCTCTGGCCCCCGCAGTCACCCGGGCAGACAAGCAAACTGTTTGGGAGGGAGCAGCTGCCAGCTCCATCCTCATCCTTCCTGGTAACACTGGTGAAAGTTTACATCTTCCCAGGTGTACATTCAAAAAAGTGTTTGGAGCTTCTGCATGGCTCTTTTAACCACTCAAGAAAACCACTGAATTTTTACTTGCCTTTTTAATTCTCTTGTTTTTTAAACTATTTTTTTCCATTAACCTGTTTCCCAACCACCAAACTCCAAAACACAAACCCTAGCAACAGCCCAGCATTTCAAACTTTAGTAACACAGGTTCAGCTCTAATCACATTGGCATTAGTCTTCATTTGTTGTCACCAGGATGTTGTGTTGCCACATGGCAGCTCCGCATGCGCACCTCTACTGGCAGACCTTCATGTCTCTGCTGCCTGGCTTTGGTGACAACAGGGACAGTCAGGCAGTGAGTGCAGACTCACTGGTATCCCCCCAGAAGCCAAGATCCAGGGAGAGATGGGAGATGCTCCACAGGGAAGGGGCTCTCAAGACCTGCAGGTAGGAGACTTAGGACTAAGAGGTACCAGCTCAATACTCCAGGACAAAAATTTACCACAGGTTCAGGGATTTTGCCACAGCCCAGCCATCCAGGGACAGGAATAGCTCCAACTCAACCCACTGAGTTGGAGCTAGAGGCTGTGGGTCCCCACAATCCATTTTTCTCCATGGTGAGAAAACCAGCAACCAGAATCACCAAGGCCTCCAGCTAAGGGTGTTGGAACATCCCAAGTTTGCAAGGAGCTCCTCTACCATCTCCATGAAGGCCCAGGTATTTCTGCATTCCGGGGACCCCTGCCAAGGGCTGCGGGGGACACCCCACTGGTGAGTGCTGCAGCAAGCACAGGAACTCGCTTCTGAGAACTGGTGAACTCCACTGGAAGGTGATGCTCAGCCTCCATGACTCAGAGCCAGCCCAGCCTCATCCCATCCCAATGCAACTCAAACACAGGAAACACAAGGATTTGAAGTAATTGCATTTATTCAAACTCTTACCACACACAGAATATTTCAAGTTGCAAGGGACCCACATGTATCACCAAGTCCAGCTCTTAAGTGAATGACCCATACAGGGATCAAACCCACCACCTTGGCATTACTGGCTCCCTGCTCTAATCAAGTATTTAATATCCAGACATGTTCCTGAGAAAACTCCATGGAACAGACTGCTCTTCAATGTGGAGCATCTGAATGGGAGCTCCAGCAACACCTGGAGCCAAATCAGTTCCAGCTCCCTCACTGCAGGTAAGTGGATCCCAGAAGCAGCTGCTCCCACTTGGTGGAGCTCATAGCTCAGGAAGGAGTGAGGATCTGGCTCTGCAGAGTTCCCACTTCTGGAGGAGAGGTCTGGGAAAGAACAGTCTGGCACTGCACCACCAAGTCCCTCAGAGATGGCTCACCCTCTGCTTAGACCTGAGAAAATGGACAAAAAAACCAATCCAACTGAGTGATGAGCAGTCAGGCTCAGCGCTGTATCAGATTCCATCCATACCAGAACTCCTGGATGTCCCCTCCCTGCCCTGTGATTCTGGGCAGCAAGCACATGTCTGGCCTCAGCCCCATATCCGCAGGATTCATTCAACAGTCTCCAGACTCAGGAATCATCATGGACCAGGCTGCACTGCCACTGATCTCACCCACACCCTGCACCACAGATCACAATTCTTTGCCAATTAAAAGCTTTTAAAACAAGGCTGATCATTCCCACCTGCTTAGTCCAAGTGAAAAACTGGCCACTTCCAGCACAGTCAACTTGAACTGTCCCTTGTCCTCCAGACCCCACTCCAGATCATGCAATCACAGAACAGTTTGGGTTAGAAGGCACCTTAAAAGCTCACCCATTCCACACCCTGCCACAGGCAGGGATATTGTCCACCAAACCAGGTGGAAAACCAGCACCAGGATGGCCTAAGCCCCACCCAACCTGGCCCTGAACATTCAGGGATGGGGCAGCCACAGCTTCTCTGGGCAACCACGGCCTCACCACCCTCATTGCAAGAATTTCCTCCTAGTACCTAGTTTACCCTTACTGCCCATCCCAACACCAGGAGTTCCCCAGAGGACACTTACATGTTCCACACTGCAGCTTTCCCGCAACTCGGGTCCTATGGGAAGCAAGCTGAAGCCCTTGGGACTGTGCTCACAGGTTTTCATCTTTTTCCACAGAGTTATTGCGAAAAGACAAGAGCCAGAGTTTAGTGCCTGAAGCCAATGGGTCACTATAAATCTATGGCTCAGATATGCCCAACAAATTCCAGGCTCCCAACCCTCATGGCATGTCTGCCCCCTGTGCACAATGTTTAACTGCTCTCCTGACTGGGAGTTTCCTTCCCAACAAATTCCCAAAATAGTGAGGCTGGTTCAGCCTGTCTTCCGAGTGGCCCCTCTCAGCACAGGACACACCTGCAGAGAGCCCAAGACCAGCATGAATGTTACTCTTCCTCCTTTTTCGACCACAAGATCGGTATTCAGATCTGATGGGAAAGGGATTTGGAGGGATGGGCTGTGGAGATCCAACAAGGGTACTACCCTCTCACCTGGGTTTATCCATCAGATTTGGAGAGCTCTGGAACAACCAGGACCTCTGGAAGACATCACAACATACCCCCAATATCAGCAGTGGGCTACAGACTTTTGTGGACACATCTCTGACTCATTCCACCCTGGAACCCCAACCAAGGAACAGCTTAATTCCCAAAAATGTATTGGAGGGGTGAGTGACAGTCACAGGCAGAAGAGGCCCAGCAGTCAAAGACCTTCCCATTGCTCTGGCACGTTGTTGGAGACCTGCAGCTACTGTGTGGAGCCACAGGTCTTGGATAAACATGCAGGTAAACACAGAGTTTATCTGGTGAAGTCTGTGACAGAGTGATTGACTGGCTCCGGTATTAGGGTTGACTCCCAGTTCTGCCTCCAGTGAGCCCCAGAGAGAGGAACTGCCCTTATCTCGCCCATGATCTGGATGGAGCAAGAACTAAGGGAGTTTGCAGGGCCCAGCCCCAAAGACAAGCCCTATGGAGGATGCATAGCCTTGGAACAGCACCTGCTGGCACTGCCCAATAGCAGAGGGGCAGGAAACGCTGCTGGCTCCTACTCTGGTCCAGGGAGGCCACAAAACCAACCAATTCTCAGCCTCTCAATTGAGGACTCCAGAACCTGGACTACCCATCTTACCTGCCCAAAGTTGAGGCCATCACTAGCCATCCCATGCCCCATGACCACCTGCTACACCAGGATGATGCTGGGGAAGAAGAGTGTCTTGAGCTTTAAGTAAACTGCAAGAGAAGTAAGTTAATACAAAACTACAGAAAGCCGAGAGACAACGCTTCCCCCCACCACTCCCCCGCCCCGTGCTTCAGTTTGAACCCCAGGGGCAGGGATTTGCGGCACCCGCTTACTTCCAGTACTAGTAACACCCCCTTAGCCCATGGCGGGCCATGTACTTTCCCGAAATGTTGCCAGACAGTTACAAAGGTTCCAACTGAGCGGCGACCGTCGAGGAAAATCTCTTTGCTCTCGGCTCCTTTTTGACTGCATCTACCACAGCACCGACAGACGCAGCTTCGATAGGGCCAGGCGGGTCCCGGGAGCTCTTCCGCCCGCCTGTTCTGGGACAGGCCATTAGATCAGCCTCGGGGGTCCCTCACTTACCCCGGGCGTGGCCCGGCCTGAGGAGGAGGGCGGGGGCAAGGCCGCGCTGCCCTTCGCAGCCTTGGAAGCGCACCGAAGCGCGGCCACCGGACGCGATGCCCACAGGGCGCCGATACAGCGGAGCCGAGTAGCAGGAGAGCCCCAGCGACGAAGGATGGCGGTGGATGGTCCCCGACGCCCTCTTCACGTCCTGCCCCGCTCGCCGCCATGGCCGGAAGAGGTGGAAACTGGTTAGCGGCCACCTTTTATAGTGCGATAGAGCGGGCTCCGATTGGCCGCTGGTTCCGGGCCCTCCCGCAGAGGCTTCTGGGAGTTGTAGGCCGCGCTGCCTACAGTCCCAGCCATTTTCCTGCCTTTCCCCCTTCCAGCGTCCCACTCCACCCCATCCCAAAGAATAAACGAGACTCCCGAACAACCTGCTCTAGTGGCAGGTGTGATGGATAAATGTCTGGTTTATTCACTGAGCTGAGTCATGGTGGAGCGTGAGAGTCGGGGGCGGGGCTTGCTTGACATGGTTGATGGAACGGCAGGGAAGTTGTAGCTTTAGAACAATATGTATGCGTGCTTGCGTAATGGTATCTTAAGTTCCAGGAAGAAGTAAAGAACTCACCAAATAAGGAGAGGTCATGAAGAGGATAAAGGACGAAGACCACCAGCCTTCATCCAGACGACCACCAGGAGGCAGAAGAAGACCCCCTAGCAACAGGGAGCACACGCAGAGTACATCTGGAAGGTCACGTCAACAGGACATGCTACAGTATAAAGAAGGACCGAGCTAAGGAACTGGTGCGAGCCAGTTGGTGGAGCAGAGACTCCCCAGCCGCCCAGCGCTGTATTTGCCCGTATTTGCTTGCTTGCTAAATTAATAAAATTCTCTTTATAAAGTTACACAAATTGGTCCCGTGTCATAATTTATAACAGCAGGTGTTCCTGCCCATGGCAGCGGGTGGGATGAGATGAGCTTTCAGCCCTCTCCCAGCCCAAACTATTTAATGATCCCATGATTCACCACTCCTACTAGCACTGGGAGCAGCTGCACACCCCCACACCACCTAAATGACTCCCCATTCCGGGTGGGGCAAGTACAATTTCTCTCTCCTTCTCCATGCAAGGTCCACATCAGGAGTTGTTCTTTGAAAAGATGAAATCAGCAGCTGCATTTCCCCTACTCCTTCCTCCCTTTTGGAACGGGGGGTGGGGGGAACACTCCACCCTCGGGAAATAGAAGAAAAGGATCTTGGAAACAGAAGCGTCTTTGCCAACACAATACCTCTGTAAGACTCCTTGCTCATGATTCATAATCTGTGGAAAGGATTTAAAACGGCAGCACCTGTCAACGGGGCGGAAGGGAGTGCTGGAACAGATGCTGATGCTGAAGGCACAATTGTTGTGGTGTGTTTTCCTTTGAATCCATGTTTGGTCCCTGTTCTCCCTAATCCCCTTTCTTCCCTAGTTGCTAAATTTCCCGAGCCCTTCCCTAACCTCCTCCCAAATTGCCAATCCTCCCTATCCCTGCCCCTTTCTCCAGAGAGTTCTGTGTCTGTCTTGTTGCCTTCGACACCCCACTAGTTACTTTGCATTATCCCCCCCCCCCACCATTTTCCCTGATAGGCTCATAAGCTATTTGCCCCACCTTATACTCCTCTCTTACCATATCCTCGTGGGTTCACTTTCCTACACCCCTACTCCTGAGCTGCTCCATAAAAACTTCTGTTCACCCCGCCCCAGTCTTGTCTGGGAGCCCAGGGATAAATCCATCCTGTTCCACCCCAAGACCGGTGTCACTGCTGTCTGTCCCTGCTGTGTCCCTGCCGATAACTGGGAATTGCAGAGCTCGCAGGGGACGGTCGTGCCCCTGCCACAGTCACCCCGCAACACCCTGCACTGTATCACACAATCATAGCAGGAAATCAGCTGGAAAAGCCTGAGACTGCTTCCTGTCCAAGTTCTGGAGAAAGGGCAAAAAGTATGGTCATGTTTTAATTTGTTCTAAGCAAATGAACAGATGAAAAAATTCTCAATGTTCAGTAATGGCCTTTTGAGCTGGTAATTATCTCCAAACACAGGAGATCGGAAACAAAATAAACCCTCAGCCATTTAAGGTTAAGTCTGGGAGTGAGCCCCAAACTTTGTGTGGCCAAATCCTCTGCAAGACAGCCCTTGCCAAAGCTGTCAGGGACAAGGTACAAGCAGCTGCTCCCATTCTCTTCCGCCATGGATCTCACAGCTGTTCCGCCAAGTCACGAGGCTATCCCTGGAGTCTCCTTGGCACAGCCGCTGATACAATGTGATCCTAAAAATCATGTCAAATCATAGGGCAGAGTAAAGCCTGGGAGATTACTGTAGGAAAAAACATCAACCTTCCCCAAAAATTCAAAGCTTGGCAAACATTGCTTGGGAAGAGACTCTTCCAAATGCTGAACTGGGAGAATCCCCAGAGAGCAGCAATGAAAAGCACTGGATGCACAGCAGACCTCAGCCTGCCATGACAAGATGGATGGAGACCCAAGAGGGGCAGAGAAAATCCCACTGCATGTGCATGGTCAGTGAAGCCCTGATGAAACCTCCTGAGAATCTCTCACCAGCCTCTTCCACAGCACAGGACAGGGAGCACATGCTGGAAGAGGCTGCAGTTCCCACCACCTCACAGATGGGAGCAGACAATGCACAGTAATGTGAAAACTATCAGTAAGGAAAAGCAGGTGTGCATTAGTGATCCAGGTGGATTGTTGTGCCTATGGCTTCCTGGGACACATCAAGGGGCTGAAGCAAGTCTTGGCCATGGTCAGCTCTCAATCTCTCCCAGCTGTGTTCTCCACCATTGCTTTTTCCCTAGAAATTTTACAGCAGCAGCGGCATGATCTTTGAATGATAGAATCATGCGACATTCTGATTTAGAAAGGATCCACATGATCATCAAATCCAACAGAACTGCACAGAACACCCCAAGAATCCCACCATGTGGCAGAGAAAAATGAGTGTGTGCTGAGCAGAACCCCACACACCTTCTTGAAAACTGACTGCACTTGGAAAAAACATTTTTACTTGAAATAACTAAGGAAGAAAAAAATGAGATACTTTCTGAAAAAATGCTCTAACCAGCAAGAAAAGGAAAGTGAACTCTATCAGTGACATTTCCTGAAGCAGCTCTATCAGTTCCTGCTACTGCATTTCAAATTCATACCCCATCCTGCCACTGAATTAGTTTGATGGTTAAGCAAATCCCAAGTTAAATCCAGAAATTGGTGTATCTAGTAATCCCAGGGAGCTGTGATATCATCTGCCTTGGACTTCTTGCCTTTAGCACGTAAGAGACAAAAGCAGAATTTACTTTACTACATGGAGTCCTTGTCTTTCATCCTGTGAAACACTAAATGGTAGTTAATATGGACTTTTCCTGTAGTCATCCAGGAGAAACAAAATCCCACACTCTATTTAACTGGGATTCCAAAAGGCAAACCTTACAAATCCCAGGAGGTGGCTGTTTTGTAGTTCCAAATAAAAGTTTCTCCTGTGCTTCAGACACAGCAATAATGGCTGGGAGCTGAAAATTAACATTAAAATAAGTAAGTGATATTAAAAAAAAACAAAAAAAAACCCAAAAAACAAAAACAAAAAAAAAAAAACCCCAAAAAAACCACCCCACAAAAAACAATGCAGCGATTTAACAGCTCCACACAACCTTGGCTGAGATTCTCCCAAATAACCCCAACAGTCTGGCTCATACTTCCAGGGAACGTGGCCCAGAGCCTCGCATCAACCTCTCTCCTGAAACAAAAGCTGGAGTTATTTTAAGCTCTGCAGCACCAGTAAACAGGAGTCAACAGGTCATCTCTGCTGGCTTCTGCACTCCCAAATTAGTCCTCACAAGGGTCTGTACGTGCTCAGCTCTCACAGGAATTAGGGGTTAGGACGGGTTGGATTAATATTTACCATTTTTCTTTTCACCAAAAAACAAAAGCAGAAAGCAAAAGGATTTTCCCACAGGGTTGCTGTCTGATCCCTGAAAACCTGCTCCTTTCTCCTCTAGAGACAGACTTGTATGGAAGTAATTTATCCAGGCATTAGGGAATACTCCACAGACAGCAATGCTGGGCAGATGAGAACAGCAGAATAAATTTATATTGATAAATAAATGTAGCTTCACCCCCTGGAGCAAATTGGAATGGCCACATTGTAAAGGCTAAAATTTGTGAGGGGTAGGAAAAGTCCAAAATAGGAGAAGAGAAGGCACGCAGGGCGGCACAGTAACAGAATTACCTAGAAAGTGTTTTAAATGCCCTTCTTTACATCACTTCTGCAATGCCACTCTGCTGAACTTCCCAAGAAGAGGGGGTGTCTTGAGCTGAGTCGCCACATCAGAGGATATAAAGCTCTGCTCTCTTCCACTTCTGCTGCTTCTGAAACTCCTGGCATACACAGGGAATATTCCTTTCCTTACATTCAGAACAGCTGGAGGTGAGACAGCAGCACAGTCAGGGGCACAGCACGAGGAAAATTCACAGCAGATGAGAACGCAGGAGTCCAGCAGTCCTTTAGCTCACTTGTCAGGAATAACCTAACTCCAGTCACATCACCCTTCCCCTCACATCCCACTTCCAGTTTATGAAATAGACCACAGACTGACAAATATGTCATAATTATGGACACAAACAAAGGTGTAGTAGAAGTAGCTTTATCAAAGTATTTAAATTTTGTGGCAAATCTCTGCATCAACATGGGCAGGGAGGCAACTAAATGCTCTGCAGTAGCAATTTCAGTTGCCAAACTATTCCTTGGATAGACATTTATTACAAGTAGTTTCTCTGTCCCTATTTCTCCAAGAGTTTAAGGCACAAAAGCCTGAAAAAGGGCTTATAACATGTATATAAGTGCTAGTATTTTCACTTTCCCCTCTAATGCAACATATCAGCTTAAATATATTGCTTGGCCATCCAGCTTATACAACATCCAGTAGAAAACTGCTTTCCAGGTTAACAACCATTTGTTGCACAACATATCAATGCAATTGGTCTGACCCATTTTTGCTGTCAGATCCTCAGTTTCACTCTGACTGGACACTAGTCCAGTAGTGGAAGACACTACAAAATCTCAACATCTCAAAGAGACCATCAAGGTGTGTCCACAATAAAAAAAACATAAAGGCATGATACACAAAATAACATTTAAATATGGTTGCTGGAAAAAGTGTTATAAATTGATGGTTCATGGGGAATTATTTCCGCATACATAGGTAGAAAAGCAGGCCAGGTGTGCAAGACATCACCAGGTAAAAGCTTTATAACACTTCTTTCTGTCTTTGCTCTCCAAAGTGCTCTTTGGGTTGATTGCTTAAGAACATCAAACTTGCAAGCTCAAGATCACAGCTTGAGTTAACCACAACATAAGCTTTCATCCCATGCTCAAGTTACAGCAACCATACCCAGTCACTGGAAAGATTTTGAGACATTTTAGTGGTGTCCAACAATGATCTTTTTTGAAATAACACATTCATGAGCATTGGGTCAAATGACTTAAGACAGTTGAATGGGCAGCAAAGCAGAAAGATGGGCAGGAACCAAAATGCAAAGGGTAATTTTACTTAAAAGACCAACTTTTTATTGTACGATGGAGTAGAGTCTTTCTCCTGTGCCATCTTGTTGAAAGTTTATAAATTACACTTCTCAGTAAGTATGAAGAGTTCATTTCAAGACAAGAGGAACAAAACTGTTGCAGTTCTAATTTTCACCATGAATAAAGGTTACCATGATGCTCCTACAATACTTGTTCTCTACAGGAAAGGCCACAGTCCTCCTGTACTCCAAGTACCTGGGTGGGGAAAGGGCCACCCCTCACAACTGTAGTATCCAGGGCAGCATAACAGTCCGGAGCACACTGGGAGGATGTCTCACAGACACAATGCCTCAGCAATGAGGCTACAACACGGCTGGGATCTCTGATGAGACCGTGTCCAAAGGCTGCCAATGACAGTCCATCAAGGCATCGTAGAGCTCTTCACTCTGTTCCATAAACTGCTTGTTTGCTTCATGGACATCTAACTGAGGTGTGGGATCTATGGGAGGAAAGACAGACAAATAGGTCACACATCAAAGGTATTCAGAAAAAAAACACCCTTTAAACAAGTTTGTATATTAAAACAAACATGGGGGGAGTATCAATATTTCCAGGGCAGGTGTCAAAGGATAGTGCCAGACTCTGTTCAGTGATGCCCACTGACAGGACAAGGAGCAACCACCTCAACATGAACAAGAAGTTATTTTCATGGAGGGTGGCAGAGCACCGGAACAGCTGCCCAGGGAGGGTGTGAAGTCTCCCTCTCTGGAGACATTCCAAACCTACCTAGATGTGTTCCTGTGTCCCATACTCCAGGTAAGCCTGTATTAGCAGGGAATTGGACTGGATGATCTTCAGAGGTCCTTCCAACCCCAAGTATTCTGTGATTCTGTGTGTCACCAAACATTCCCACCACTTGCCCAGTCACAAACCTGACCAAATCAGTCAATCCTACTCAATCTCTCTTCAATGAGATAAGGAATAACTACATCCAAACATGTCCCTTTTTACAACAGTGATTGCCCCACAGGACAGCCAGTGGAGGGAACACACACCTGCACCTCACAGCCCAGTGAAGCCACCTGCACTGCCAGAAGGGGCTCGCCCTAATGGAAAGGCAGAAGCAAATGCAGAGGCACCCACTCCCTTCTGCTCCCTCCACTGTGAGGTCACAAATGATGGATGGACAGATGGATGGGAGCATCCTGTGCTGCTGCAAGCAGTCACCAGAACTCATCTGCCAAATCCTCCAGCAGCTCAAAGCTGGAGTCACAGTTAGGAATGAAGGGAGTGTCAGTGGCACCACAGCATCATGGTGAGCATAGCCCTATTTTACATGTGGAAGAAATGTTTAGAAAGCATTTTCGAGCTGGACAACAAGCGTGCAGGTCCAATCCTGCTGCTCTGAATGCACAGTGATGGACTCCCCAAACCCCTGTAGTATGTAAAGCTCACCTGACAACTCCAGCAACCCAAAGCTCAGGTTATCAGAGTAGCACAATCACAACGGTGAGTGAATGACTCTCAATACAAAGCCGAATGAATGGAAAGACTCAAAAACACATCAGGAATATAATGTTTTTAAACATTTAACTTCCTTGTGAGGGAGGTGAGGCCCTGGCACAGGCTGCCCAGGGAAGCTGTGGTTGCCCCATTTCTTTAAGTGTCCAAGGCCAGGTTGGACAGGGCTTGGAGTGACCTGGTCAAGTGGAAGGTGTCCCTGTCCATGGCAGTGGGTGGATAAAGATGGCTTTGGAAGTTCCTTCCCACCCAAACTGTTCCAGGATTCTATTTGGTTTTAACTACATCATGTTGTAAGACATTACAGGAGAAGAGATTTAAGGAAAAGGAATGATACAGTGACAATACATGAATTCAGTTTCCTACAAAGGTAGGAATCTTTCATTTAATCAACCACAAAAAGAAATATCCAGAGCTATCCCAATTCTAGTCCTGGTATGTTTGGTTCAGCAAAAGGAAAGCTCTCCTAGAATGCTTTTAAGAGCCATTAACAGCTTCCACACACATCATCACTCATACCTGTGGATCCTGTAGATCTGTTACTATGTGATTTTTAATTTTTACTTTTTTTTTTTTTTTAGGAATAGAGCAAGATACACTGCATAGTGCATATTGCACTCAAGACAGAAATCTAAAATGGCCGGCATGAAATGATAGCTTCTTGCATCAATAAATGAAAGCTACTTGTACAGGTATCTAAAACCCCAATCTGATTTAGTGACCCATTTCAAGCAACAACTGCTTGAAATATTTTATCAGTGTGGTGACTCGTATTATTCCCTTTTACTTGTAAACTAAAAGCACAATTAAGTATTCTGGCCTCTAAATGTCAAGATTTTGCAGTAAAACAGAATATCTACTTTTTTCTTGGAAGCATATCAGAAAAAAAAACCCTAGTAAAAAAAGGTTAACAATTTCAGTACTACAGAAGATTAAAATCTCAGTGCTGGGGAAGTCAAACAGCTTCAGTCCTCACCAGGTTCAGACTAGGAGCAGCAAGAGTAAAACCAGGATGCAACTGTTCTAGGCAATAGTGACCCACACATTTTCTCAGATTTACTCGAAGATAGAGGTATATTATAAATTGAAATTAGGGCCAATTTGAGAAAGTCTATCTCCAAGCAGTGCAGAACATACATACAACTTCAATACAGGATTTGAGAAACATACCTTCCAATGCATCCTCACCAACTTCTTCATATGTCTGCAAGGAAAAACAAACCCCTTAGGACAGTGGATAATTATATTTTCTTTTGCAAGCATCACTTGTTGATTAGTACTGTCAAAGACTGACTTTTATACTGGAGTTATTACAACAGAATTCTTCACACATAAGCCTGTGTTCCATTCCTAACACTCCATGGGCAAGATCCTACACTAAACCTCTAACAGAGGCAGTTCTTGAAATTCCAGGGTTGAAGTGGGGTGACTGTTCTGATGTGTTCTATCCCTTATAACAAAGTTTTTGAAGGATCCCAAAGGCACTCTGAGCACTGCCTGTACCAAGAGAACTCTTCTACCATCACAACTGTACTAAGAGACCCTTTATGTCCACCAAACTTTTTTTTACCTCAGCAATATACTCTCCATAAGGCAACAGGACACACCAGGGGCTAAACACTAAATAGTAGCTATATTAAGACTTCATTATTAAGAGGTATATACTAAGATCTCTTGGTGTGTTCAGTTTGGAGCAGAGCAGACTGAGGACAGAGCTCCTTAGGGTCTGCAGCTCCTCCTGAGGGACAGCTCCAATCTCTGCTCTCCATGACCAGGGACAGGACCTGCTGAGGGAACAGTTGGAGCCTCCTCCTGTCAGGGGAAGGTCAGGCTGGATATCAGGAAAAGATTCTTCCCCTAGAGGGAGCCTGGCCACTGAACAGGCTCCCCAGCGAATGGTCACAGTTCCAAGGCTGCCTCAGCTCCAGAAGCATTTGAACAATGCTCTCAGGCACAGGGTGGGATTGTTGGGGTGTCCTGGGCAGGGCCAGGAGCTGGACTCTATTCCTGTGGGTCCCTTCGAGCTCAGGACATTCTGTGATTCTCAGAGCTGAAGATGACATGCTCTCATTCCACCTTTCAAGCTTGTGCTGCCCTACCTGCATGGTGCTCTGCGTGTAGCCATACTGGGGGTAGCTGTAGCTGTAACTGCCCGTGTTCTGGTCGTACCCCCACTGAGCGTAGTAGTTGTGATACTGTTGGTAATACTGGTTGTAATTATAGTTGTACATCTGACTGTACTCCATTGGTTTCATACGATTACTTAAAAAAATAAAGCAGGAAAAAATACCAATAAAATAGCAATAAACCATTTTTTAAAGTTGCAATACAATAGCACAGAACAAGTATGAAAAAAGCAGTGAAATAGCTTAAGATACAATGTGGTAAAGAGACAAGGCTTAGTCTAACAAGAAAATTTCAGTCTTTAAAATATATTCACTATTTACCGCAGTAGTATTTATTATTTGCATATATTTGCATAAAGAAAGAAGTGTTTTAAATTTAATACCCTTTCCTGTATTCATATTCCTTTTCATTAATAAACATTACTTTCATTCTTGATAAGTTAACTTGGTATCACTTCCTGGCTCTGGGAAGGGAAGAGTTCAGGACTACAAGCTTCAGTTTAGAACAATCCTGAACCACAATCCAGATACTGGAGTCCCCTCTTCCGTCTGGTAAAGAGGATGAAGTAATCTGCAGCTTTCTGAGAGAAAGTACTGAGCCTTGCTTTACAGGAAGAGTTAAAGACTTAAAGGCTGGCAAAAAACCTTGAGTTTTGTAAGAATGGATAAAACTCTCCTTTTTGCCACTGTCATACAGAAACCTAAGCAAGGCCCTGTCCCCTTTCTCTCTGAGCCAGGTGGTCTTTAATGCACAGACTTGAAAAAGTTAATGAAATAAGAACTACTAGTAATCCAAAAATAAACTTAAATGCTCTGAGAACTGACTAAAATTCCTATTCCTTGCCACTTTAGGAAGTGACAGCATTCCCAAGGAACACCATTTCACCTAACTATCAAGGTTTCAAATAATAAGATGACAAATATTGTTTGGAAATGAAAATATGTCACACATAAAGCTATTTCTACTAATGATGACATTAGTGAGAAGCAGGAAGAAGGAAACATCAATCTTCTCACCACAATGCACCCATTTTTTCTGCTTTTCTCTTCCTTCCCCCGCCAAGATTTATGAGGTCACTGAAAATCTAAATATTATTCAAACAGGGAGCAATTACTATGATTTGTATTACCCTAGTGCTACGAGCCCCAAGTCAGACCAGGATCTCATTGTATCAGGTTCTGAACAAACACAGAAAAAAAAGTTAATCTTTGCCCCAAAAGTCTTATATGTAGTAGATAGAATAATAGAATTAGCAAGGTAGTTGAGCTTTGCTATCCAGTCATCATTAAAAAGATTTAAACTATTTCGATTTAATGCAAAGGAACATACATTTTAAATACAATCATATTTAACTACAGTGTGTGCGCATGTGTAGGGGTTTAATAATGTATACAATTCAAAACAGTGTAAAATGCTCAGTATTGAGCTAATGTTATAATTTCTTTGAACTCCAGGGCATTCTGATACTCCCCATATTCATCAGTATTCTTTCATTTTGTGATTGAGACATCCAGGACATGTATCCAAAGCACTAAAAGGCATTTAAAACCAGATGTCATTTTTCATATAAATGTCCAGCTGTTCTACTCACGCTTTTGGTATAGCCACACTCAAGCGTACAGGTTTAGAGCCCAACCCCACAGCTCCCTGACACTCTGTCAGTGCTCTCTTCTGTTCCAGTTCATCTGTGAATTTCACGAACCCGTAACCTCTGCAGAGACATAAAAAAATTCACATAAAACCAACCCCAAAGTGCAATGCCACGTTATAAAAATTAGTTACAGTGAAGTTTGATTTGGTTTGGGAAAAAGTGTACAGAAATGTTCCTTAGGGTTGTTATCCCTGCTCTTGGGAGAGATGAAATTATTCTACCTTCCAGCCGCTTTTCCAAAAGCCTGAAGCCACATGTCCAAGTTCTGGCAGTACTTTCAAGGGCTTGTCAATGTAAAGTAGTTCTTGTGCCAGTGGATTCTGGGGAACTGGAAGTGAGCTGACACAAGCCATGTTGAAATGTGTGAACTGACACACGGTAAAGCCCCAAATCTCTGCTGGGAGGATACTGATATTCTCAAGAGCACAGCTGGAACAGAGACAGCACATCCAGAACCCATGGACTCTGCAACAAGCCTTCATTGTGATGTGGCAGAACTGCACGTCAGCCAGACAGAAAACTCCAACTCCCTCCAACCCCAACAATCCTTTGCGTGGGCTTTTGATGCTGTAGTGAGTCAGAAGCAATGCAACAGCATCCAAGAGGGCAGTGCCAGGATCTCATCATGGGATGGGCTGCCTAACGCAGCAGAAAGATCAAAGACTTAGGTGTGGGAGGGTAAGAGGAATCCATCTAAGCAAAGGAAGAAATTTGGGAGGGAAGGACTTGTCTACCTGGGGAAAAGAACAAGCCATAAGCAAGGGTGTAAATTTAGAGTGCATTATCTATTCTGTGGGAACTGCTAAACACCAAGTAATGTGCTATTTTGAAAGCAGCATTACCTACTTCTCATGGGAGGTCCCCACCAGCAGCTATTTCAGAGCAGTTCATGCCCCAGAAAATGCAGTACCTTGCACAGCAAGCTCCACACACAAGTCCAAAAATCTTACATATATATATATATATATATATATATATATATATATATATATACATACAAACTAGATTATTAAACACAAGCAAAACTCTACACAGACCCACGTTCATTTAACTTGCCCTCTGCCAAAGGATTATGGCAAATTAATCCAGTGCAAGTCAACTTCTAAGTCAGTTTAAGGTGTTCACACACAAACCCAACTAAGTTTCTAAGTGCCAAAAGACTCCTGCAGATTTTCAGATGGGAGCAGGAGTGTGAAAGAGAAAGTGGGAAGACTGGCAGTTCCAAAAGAGACACAAATAGAGATGGATGCAGTGTACAGGAATAGATGCTGGGTGCTGCAAGGGAGACAGTGATTCTTCCAAGTCTTCCAGACACTGATTCTTCCAACTCTTCCAGACATTTAGCTGTTCTCCACCAATGGCTAAACCATTGGTGGGGAAAGAAATAATTTCTTCCTGGCCAGGACCTCCCTACAGACCTTCTGTCGTGCCCCTGAAGTTTGGAAAAGCCTCAGCACCTGTACCCTCAGCAGAAAGCAGAGAAGTAGGCACACCACCACAGCACCATGCTCCAAGCTCCTCTCCTGTCTGGACAAGAGGGTCTGGGAGGAGGCCTTCCTGATCCACCAGCCTTGGCTGGAAGGGCCAGGGCTTGTCTGCAAGCTCTAAGCTCCTCTCTCACATCACACTGACACCTGCAGATGTCTCAGCTTTGAGCAATTGCATAAGTCCCAACAAAGCCCCTGGCACCAACACTGTGGCACTGCCAGGGGAGACAGCTTTGCTCTTCCCAGAAACAGGACTTTAAGTCCCTACTCCTTCCCCACTTCCCAAGCTACCACAGTTTCCCTTTCCTTGAGGTCTGCACCTATGCACAGTTCCCAACCTGCAGCACCAACAACTGTTCTATAGACAGAGACTGAAGCAGGTGCAGCACAACAGGAACTGTGAGGTTTACACTGAGGAGGAGCAGAAGGCACACAGAGCCAAACACAGCAGTGTCAGTCCCAGGGGAGGTGGCAATGACAGCATGAGGACAAAATAGCCAGAGAGACTGAGTAGCTCTGCAACAAGTTCAAGATGCACGTGAAGAAGAACTTCATGACTGGGGAGTGCAGCTCTGGAACAGGCTGCCCAGACAGATTGAATTAACTCTATTCTGGGAGATTTTCCAGGCTACACAATTAATGGATGATATGATCTAGTGCAGGCTACAGTCCTGTTAGGAGCTAGACCAGAGACCTCCAGAGATTCCTTCAAACCAACCTGTCTAAGATTAAGAAACCACATATCAGAAGGTGGAGGGACCTACAGCCATAGCCTATATCTTATCCCAACATTCTCACAGGTGTTATATTACAGAATTGTGCTTCACTGAAGCCATGCTCTGCTTTGAAAACAAGGATGCTCACCAACTGCTCCTTCCTCTGGAAAATACAGCTTAATTGCATGCTATTTAGAAAATGTTTTAATTACATTAAGAAATCCAACTTTTTGATAGCTGTTTTTGTCAAGACATTTTCAGGAAAGACAAACAAGGCAGCTACTGAGAACCTGACAGTGAATCACAGCTTTGTGTGCCCTACCCTGTTTGAAAGAAAACCTGTACAGCTATCACAGGAATATACACTCAATAGGCTAAAGTTTGTAAAGCACAATTCCACCCAAGAGTCCAGGAAGAGAGTGTTTCAATATTACTCAAGATATTTTTCAGCATTTTATAAAAGACAACTTACTTGGATACTCCTGCCTGGTCCAAAACAACTTTTCCACCTCTACATGATGGATAAACTTTAACAAAAAATTCATATAACATCCCATCATCCACGTCAGGAGTCAGGTCTCCCACAAAAAGGGAATATTCTGGACTAAAGAAATCAAAAGTAAACGTCTTAAATACAATCAAAAGAAAAACAAAAGGGACATGCTGAGTGACAGTTACCATTTAGCTTAAATATTTGAACTCAGAGAAGAGTGATATTAAAAGACCATGTAATGGAGATGTTGAAGTGCCACCAGTTAAGCTGCTTAACTAAAATTTTGATTGACACTGCTTTTTCAAGTTAATCCAAGCAGGACAACCAACCAACTGAATACTGCTTTTTCTTTAAAGATTATTTCAATGCTTATTACTCAGGATATCTCTGATTTCTAAAACGACAAGAAAAAATATCTCATTTATAGAGATGTTATTTCCAATACATAGATCTCAAATTATAATACATAGATCTTAAATTATAATATATGAATTAGATACTTTGATGCTACAAAGCTTAAGTACCTCAAAGGACACTGGATAAATCTGTTGTGCCACACACAGGGCAAAGCACAAAACTGGCAGACTAAGTTCTCTTCCTTCTACTAAAGACTGGCAGTGATGAACTTTGGGTTTATATATTTTGAATAATTTTTGCAAGGCAATTAATAGAGAGACATTAAGCAGGCAAAATTAATATTTAAATATTGAGCACTTACCTGTTATCAGGCTGTTTTCCATATGTTGCATAATTCAATTTAAATCGCTTCGCCTGAAACAAGGCAAAAACGAATCCATACATTCAAATGTCATCATGTGAATTCAAGCAATTAGGGAAAAATACAACAAGCTGATATAATGCAACTTAATGACTCATTTTCAATGCCTTCAAGCCAATCAGTTAAGGTAACAAGCACATTTTTATTTAGCATCAGTACAGATATAATAATGAAAATCAAAATGTAATAACAAATGTTAATTTTCTTCCCATTTTAAGGTCTTAAAATGAAACAACAGTACCACTACTGGACTTTTGTGATTTAACACAAACACTAGCAGACCAGAATCAAACATACCAGAAAATGGAATCAGCCTGAGTCTGGAAGTGTGGCTAAATACTTGGCTCTGGACATTTAGTAAGATTCAAAATTAAAGGGTTCTGAAAGAACTACTACTACTGAAAGGACACTGGAGCGCTCTTTAAATTTTGCATCTGAATTTATTTTTGAAACAAGTTTCCCAGCAGCCCAGATTTGTGCCCTCTGGCACATCTGGAACACTCTGTCCCCAACCTACCATACTTTTAGCAACTTTTACCCAGCTTACATTTAAGTTTAGACCAAGATCTAAGAAGACCAAGATCTTTGAATCAGCTCTGGGCTAATCTCAGGATCAAGACTTCAGATCATAAAATCAGGATTTCGGATCACAATCAGAAATGCCCTAGAGATCAGGGTACTTGTTCAGTATAGTGAAGAGCCCAGTGTGTTCCTGGACCTTGTATGATGGATTTAATTCCCTCAAAAACAGGTAAGTAATTATTGGGAAATAGAGCACAGTCTTATCTCTAGGCTATAGTCCTGTTCCTTGCATGCTTGCATTCTTTGGAGCACAGTACTACACAACCTTCTGTGGATCATTTACAAGCTAACACAAAATTTAGATTCCCCTTTGAAGCACTTAAATTTTTTTTTTTTTTTTTTTTTTTTAATCTCACTCTTCACTGCAATATTCTGGCTTTAAAATTAACAAGACACCTGAGAGTATTTTCACTCAGATGGGAACTGGGAATACCAATGCTTGGAAAAGAGAGACAGCACCAGCACCATGGCTCTCTGTTATTCCTTTGACTGATTCAGTATTTAAAAATAAATAAAAGCATGTACCACACTCAAGTTTTCTGTAAACAAAATTCTTTAAATGCAAAGGATGAGCTGGGCACTTGCCTGCCAAGTGTACTGATTTGGCTGCTTTGGATCTCTGCCTGACATCTGTAATTCTCTCCGTGTGTTATGCAAATCATCCCTCCACACTGTTTTGAACAAAACTGTGAAGTAAGATGGGTATTCCCAAAACCAAACTTCCATTGTTATCTTACTCCTTGCAAGAGCTGCTCTCTTTGTCTCTCCAGTGATTATACAAGGCATCCGGGATGATCAGCTTGCCTTAATCATGAGAAAACACGTGAAACAGGTATCTCCAGGCCTCTCATCAACTCCTTTTAACAGGGCATGTCACCCACTCAGGAACGCTGACTAAACAGCTCAATCTGAACTTCCCAGTCTCCTACTCTGGGTATTAACTACTCTGAAACAGGAACCCATTTACCTTGTATATCACACCGTAACTGAGGTGATTCTAGAGCTGCTTTATGAATCAGTCACCCCAGCTACTGCAGCCAACTCCTGTGGGTACAACAGACAGCTGTGTTAGCCGTCTCATTTTAATCTACCACATATTCGAGTCAACATCCTAAAATTAGCCTCTCTGCCTATTCCTCCTCTTCTCCCTAACTACCCAGCTTTTATGTAGAGGAGAGAGTTATGCACTGCAATTATTCAATACTCTCTCTTGTTCTCCACTGTAAAGAGGTTTGAGTAACTTCTCTTTGCTAAGGGCCAAGAACAATGCAAGATTAATAGTCATGTTTCTCTTGCCAGTGTTACTCAAAAGACAGTGTGAACTTGCAAGTTCATCCTGTACACATGTAACAACAAACACAGCTAAAGTCTCAGGTTGCCTCATCCCTGAAAGTGTTCAAAGCCTGGCTGGATGGGGCTTGGAGCAATTTGGTCTAGTGGAAGGTGTCCCTGCCTGTGGTAGGGGATGAAATACGATAAGCTTTAAGCTCCCTTCCAACCCAAACCACTCTGTGACTCCATGATTACACAAAAGGACAGAGATGGAAGAATTGTGGCAGACATACACTATACTCAGTCAAATTTCTTCCTTGCTCTTCTCAGATTTCTGATTAGTCCAACTTTGGTAACAGCAGCAATGGTCAGATATAAAAAACATCCCACAACACTTCTACACCTGAATTTTATCTAGACAGTCACAAAGAAATCAGTGGTTTTTCTCAACAGTTTTCAGAGCAAGAACATTAACGGTTTTATAGTCATAACTTGAGTTCTAAAGCAAAGAAGAATCCCAGCTTGCTAAGTATTCAATTTATCTGTAATTATTAAAATACACATTCTACACTATCTGTCCCTTCCAAGTTTTGGTTCTCAACTGGCTGATCCCATTTACTTACCGGTGTAGCACCAGGAAGTGGTTTTCCATTGATTTTGTGCAAACATTTCTCTGCAGTAGCTAGATCTGCAAATTCTACAAAGCAATAGCCTGCTGGAATTCTGAACATACAACACAGAGGAGAAGAGACAGAAGTTATAAAGTTAAAACACATTTGATGAGGAAAACTGTATTTTAGATAAGTGGTAGGAAATTTGCTATAGTTGAAATACATAGAACAGTTTCTTTTTAAAGTATAAATATTAGCTACCAAAGAGAAGCTGGATGTTAAGGGATAACCTCTACTTACCATAAGTCAGGTCAACATAAGCACACAGAAAATGGTTTAGTTTACAGTTTACTTCCTATTTTCACTGACCATCAATTTGCCCGCCCAAGTTTAAACTACTGAAAACTGAAATTACAACACTTAAAAGAATAATGGATAAGAATTAAACTGCTTTTATTCTGCATAAATCACTATTTTTATTTCAAATGAACTCTAAAGGTTCTCTTATTGCTCCAAGTCAGACTTCCCACCTCTATTAGCATCACATAGCTGCACTACAGACTAGTGACCAAAGCCTGGGGAGGTGTAATTCCCTGAGGGATGGAATGAGATACATACACCACTCTGACTGAGTGCTGGAGCACTGCAGGATGAGGACCAAACCTTGTTTGTTGAGGGAAGGCTGAAGAGCCAACAGTGCCCTCTCCATTTCTCTGATCAATATTCCCATACCGGTGGCAGCAATGGTGAGACTCTCAAAGGGAAAATTCACTCTGATATAGAAGGACCACAGCAACGCTTCAGTCCAAATGCGCTCAGAGAACAAACAGAAACAGTTACCCTGTTAACCTGTTTCGAATGATTTTTACACTCAGTACAAGCTCTCCCATGGTGGCAAAGGCTCTTGAAACAAAGTTTTCATCCATATAGGGCTCCAGCTATAAAAGCAAAAAAAGAATGAAAGTTAGATCAGAGCATCTACAAAAAAGAGAATATGTGTCAATGTCCCTCTAATCAGTTAAAACATTATTGAGAATGATTTTACCCTTACACTTCAAAAAGAAGACTCATTTAAGAGGGTCGATGCCACTCAAAACCAGCAGGCATGCATGAACCAGGCTCAACAGTCTGCAAAGTGGAACCCAAGAGACAGCATGAATTTCAGAGAACAGGGAGCTTCACAGAAGGACAAAAGCTACTCAGAAACATACAGCAACAAACTGAGCATTTGCTACAGGGAGCAGGGGAGAAGGTGGCAGGCTCCTTCTCCAGGTGCAAGTGAAGGCTGGGCCAGCATTGTGGATACACAGGTGTGGCATAACCCCGGATGGCATGTGGCAGGTGACACTGCCCCGTGGAGCTGTGGTAGGGGTCTGCAGAGCTTTGTCTGCCTCGCACAACCACGGAATACCAGGGCAGCACTTGGGGGAAGCTCTGGAATCTTGTCCCATGGCAGCTCTACGCTTCATCCTGCCCATGGGAGCACTGACTTTGTTCATTTCACAAGGAAGGACCGCACTGTGCAGGTAAGAGTGCATGTGAACATGCTGGAGAGCAGGTGTCTGTGTGGTGTAAGGGACTGACAAGTAGGAAATGGTACTGGAATTTGGATCAAATATACTATGAAGAGCCTGAGTGAACAGGACACCTCTGTGTATAACAGAAACTGGAGGAGGGAACTAACCAAAATGAAAATGGGGAGCAGTGTGTGTGACAGGTAACACGAAACTGAAAAATGTATGTATAAAATATATATATAGCTCCATGTACCCTGTGTAAGACAGGTGTCTCATGGTAACCTACAGCCCTCAAGTATCTGTTTGTCTATCAAGTGGCTCCACCACTTGCATGTGTGACAGATTGTGTAGTATGTTAAAGTGACCATACTGCACTTGCACGTGTAAAAAGCAGCAGATGCCCTGTGGAGGTGAGTGTGAAGCAGAATTGAGTTGTCTCAGGAGCAGAAGCAGCACCACTCTGCACAGACATGCCAGGATGATCCTGGCTGTGTGTGTGTACAGAAAGTTGTATTTGTAAAGACAACCAGTTGCTTGGATATGTCCGTATGGCTCAAAGAGCCACGGCCTGCTTGTGAGAGTAGTGGTGAAAAAGAAGATGGGCTTTATCGTAGAGAGGTGACAAAAAACTCTCTGTGTGGGGAAAAGGAGAACGGACTCCACAGAGTCTCCATGCATGAGTAAAGGCAGTAGAGGACACCCTGATACTGTGACAAACTGCTGAGTGTGTGCGTGGGAGAGAAGTACCCAGTGGGATTCTCAGGAATGTGCTGGGCTATGTGTACACACACAGGTGAGAGATGAGGAACACTACATGCAAGCAAGTCTGTGCTGGTGTGAGCTGCAAGGGGCTGAAGGCAGATACGCGTCCAAGAAACAGGTGGCAGGGAAGTTGTGACATGTATACGCATAGTGGAGTGAACACAGGTGTGTACAAATGTGTGACAGCAAAGGCACTATACGCAGCAGTGGGACCGTGTGTGTGTGTCACAGTGTACCACAGTGGTAGCAATGCAGTCACCACAACACACTGAGCACACACACATGCAGTGCGGCTGGGTGGCAGGGCACTACAACATGCTGGGGTGAATATATGTGTGTGAAAGTGTGTGCTCAGCAGTGAATGTGAAAGACACAAGGGCACAAGAGCGAGGGTGTGTGAAGGGCACACGAGGGACACTGGGTTGTATCACTGTGAGTGTGCCAACAGTGTGCATGTGAATGGGCAGCAAGACACCCTTGGGTGAAGAAGCACCTGTGAGTGTGCTTCACATGGGTGCTCTTCCTGCCAGGTACACACACAGGCAGGAATGAGGGACCTAGCAGGAAGTGTAAGTGCTTGTGAATGTGTGTGCATGTAGGAGAGTCAAAATCCCTATGAGAGTGTAAGTGCACCCAAAGGTGCGCACGTAGGGGGCAGGTTGTGAGGGATAATCCTGGAAAAGTGCATACAAATGTGCCTACAAGTGTGAGCACAATCAGCAGCACAACCATGAGTGTGTGTAAATCCCATGTACAATGTAAGCATGTAAGTGCCTACAGCAGCTGAGCAGGTAAAACAGTAGATAAATCCTCAAAGAATGCACGTGTACATGCTGTGGGTATGGGAGTAAGTGCCTCGTAAGAGTATGGACGTGTGAGACTTTTTTGTGCCCATGCATGTGTCTGACCACCAGGGACACTGGTCTAAGTGTAGCTGTGACCTGGCTACAATGAGGATCACTCTGGGGTGTGTGTGTGTGTAACTGGTCACAAATGTGCCTGTCAGGCTGGGGTTTATGTCTGAGAGTGTGTGTGTCAGCCTGTGTGAGCATGTCAGCATGCATAGGAGTGTATGACCTGAATGTCACTTGGGGAGTTTAGGTGTATCTGAATGTGTGAGGGGCTGTGAGGCTGTGTCAGTGTGGGGGTGCCAGTGGTGTGAAGGGGACAGTCAGTCAGGGAGAGGGTCAGCTGGTGTCAGATGTCAGAGTGAGGGTATCAGAACTGTGAGGATGTCAGTCTGTCGGTTGTGTGGGTGTCAGAGCGAGAGTGTCAGTCGGTCATAGCAAGGCTGTCAGTTGTAATGGTGTCAGACAGTATGACGGCGCCGGAGTGAGGGCATCAATTGGTGCGAGAGTGTCAGTCAGTGCGAGAGTCAATGAGAGGGTGTCGGTCGGTCGGTCGGTGGGAGAGCGTCAGTCAGTCATGGTGCGGGTGCCGGTCAGTGACGGTATCAGACGGTCAGTGCCTCCCGCGCCCCGCCCCGGCCCGGCCGCGGACCCCCGCAGCCCCGCCGCCCTCCGCACAAAGCCGCGCGGTCCCGGCCGGACACTCACGTCCCCCATCCACAGGCTGGCGGCCATGCTTCTCCCGCAGGCCCCGCGGCGGGTTCAGCGGGGCCGCGCTGTTCCACCGCCCGGCCCGGCCCGGCCCGGCCCGGTCCGGCCCGGCCCTACCGCCGCCGCCGCCCCTCCTTCCGTCCCACCCCCGGTGCCCCGGTCCTTCGGCCCCTCCCTCGGTCCCTCCCGCCGCCGCCCGGGCCGGCCCTGTCGCCTCCTCCGCGGCCCCGGCGGGCGGGGAGAGCGGCAGCCCTGCTCCCGCAGCGCCCCTGGCGGCAGGAGGAGCGGCAGCCGCGGGAGGGAGCCGGGGCCGGAGGGCGGGGGTTTGGGGCAATTTAGGGGGGATTTGGGACAACTGTAGCTACCCGGAAGGAGATTGGAGTGAGATGCGGACCGGTCTCTTCTAGAGTGAGAAGGCAAGCAGAGAGAGGGCAAGAGGAAATGGCCTTAAACTGAGACAGGAGATTCAGCTATCAGGAAAAAAATGATAGCATATGCTGGGTTGGGAGAGGCACACCGGGATCATTGAGACCAACACGTAGCCCTGCACAGGACATTCTCACTCTGTGCCTGAGAGCATTGTCCAAACGCTCCTGGAGCTCTGGCAGTCTTGTGGTTATGACCATTGCCTGTGGGTCCTGCTCAGTGTCCCAGCACCCTCCGGGAAAAGAACCTTTTTCTGATATCCAACCTAACCCTTCCCTGACAGACCTTTATGCTGTGACGAGTACTTTGGTCATCTCTTCAAGGCACCACTGCTCTCAGAGCTGGCACAGGGTTTACAAAGTCGGACAGTTTTTGACAATGTTGAAAGGCCAAAGACTTGTAGGGGTGGGTTTTTTTTTTGTGGTAGAGAGGTTTGTGAGAGGCCATGATCCCAGCTACCCTCCACCCAATGGGGCAGCAGCTGCATCAGAAGCTTCGAATCTTAACCAAACTGGGGCTCTTACCTTAGACCACTGCCTCTTCATACAGATAGGAGGTCCATCCTTGGGATCATCAGCCTGAGACGTGGGGTTGGACTGGGTACGGTGTGATCCTCTTCTCTTGTTACTTCAGCAGGCCTTTGACAGCGAGGGTGGTAATTCCTGGAGAAGATGAACCCCTCATACCGACAGAGCAGAGACAAGGGATCCTGAGAACTGGTTGGTATTTTCGGCATCCCAAGAGCCGGTTGGAATTTTAGCATCTCCCATCACGGGAGAGCCCTGTGCCCTTTTAGGGAACACCAGGCATGGACTGAATCCCTGGCAGTGGTTGTACAGGTGCTGCCGCACGCCATAAATCCAGCTCCTGGTGACAGGGACGCTTCAAAGTCTCCACGCTATTTTCGCCGCGGTTGTTCGGGCTCCGGGCGAGCCGGGCGGTGCCTCCGCCGGTCGTATCCCGGCAGAGGGCAGCAAAAGCCCGCTGGTGTCGGGTGGAGGTTTTCCGGTGCTGGCATTGGGTAGCTTTTTGTGATGGAGCCAGTTCTGGAACTCCTTCCGAAGTGATGTGTTAGCGCTCACTCAAATCTTGCCCCACAACATCCCTCTTCCATGACTAAGACCGGGAACACACCGGGAGGAGAGGGGAGAATTCTTTGTTCTGCTTTTCCCTGTGGACAGAGCAGGGCACGTTTAATCCTTCCTACATTCCTGCAGGAGACAGTGAGAATCCTTCACCCTCATTCTGAGCAGGATCTGCATCTCTCATCACGCAGACGCACGCCCAGTATTGGCTGCTCTAGAATATCAAGTCTTGGGGAGATGCAAGACACGAGATTAACAGTTTATGTGTTTTCTGAGTCCTTAGAGCACCCTCAGATCATTCTCCTCCAAGTTCCTCCCTAACTAAAATCTAAAATCTAGCATGAAATCAGAAAGGCAGCAAGACCTGCAGTTGGTAACTCAGCAGAACGAAGATTTTGGGTTGTCAAGTTGCACTTTTTGTGCCTTGGTGTCACTGGCAACCTGGTCTCCTCCAAATTCACCCCCTTTGAAGCCCCTGCTGTGTCTGCCTTTCAGATGTCATCTCCCAGAATGGTTTTATGTTTCCAACATGGCAATTTATCCCCTGGTTAACTTGGAGCTCCGCCCTGCAGAGCCCACAAAGCTGTCACTCATTCTCTGTTATTACTTACAAAAGCCAGGAGTTCTAGGTCATTTGATGAAGTGAGTCTAGTGTCTTTAATAATCCTCTTCTGGCTTTTTTCTTCCAACAGAGTAACACAAAACTTGTTTTTCCTAGGATAATCCATAGACATGGATTTTGGGCAATGAAAATGCTGAAGGATGTGATTATGTTGGACCAGGAGAAGACAAGTTTAAATTCAGTGTTATATCTGAAGTAACTGCTGTTTATGCACTTAACCTTGTGACAGAGTAAAAACAGTGCCAGGAGCATATTGTGGAGATGTTGTTACGTGAAAAAGTGTTTATTCCCCTTTAAAAATTTATGAACTTGCAAAGAAGCCATGCAAGGATGATGTGGCTGTTCCTCTGTCCTGAGTGTGAGTGTCAGCAGTTAGCAGCCAAAACATATGTGTCCCTTGTTCCCTTTGCTGGGACAGCAGGTATTTCTGAATCTAGGAACCTGGTCCTGAAAATTGCTGACTAAATTCTAACTAGTGTTTACTGGAATCCACTGGAGGGGTGATCCCTGAGACCACTTTTACCTGGTCTCTGGGAACTGTAGCCTGTTGGAGGCCCCAGTCCTGGAGGCTTCAGAACTCTTTCAACTCTTGGTAACTTTGGCATTAAGGGTCACTCAGTACCTCCTAGGAGGAGGCCCTGACTGCTTTCAACTTTTAAAATCAATGGTTTTGATCTTGACAATCTGGCCTGGAAGATTTTAATTTTACTGGTTTTAGCTTGAACTTGAAACTGACTTAAATGGCGTTTGTGCCCTCAGTACTGGATATTACTGTGTTAGAACCTTCCCTTTGCCGGTCTTGCAGATGCAAGTCAGTCCTTTTTCTTTAGGCAACTGTATGTAATGGACTGAGATCAGGGATTAATTTGGCCAGGGATAATTGAAATGATAAGTAAAATAAACCAAAACAAAACATAAAGCAAAACTTTGAGTTTGGAATAGCTTCTGAGATTCTGAAAGTAACTGAAGTAATCCAGAAGAAAATATGCCATGAAATCTGTTTTCCATTATTGCATGAGATGGTATGACTTAAAATTTGATCAAATCTATTTTTTTCATGATGAAGTTAATGCCACTTAAAGTGATGTAGAGATCTGGGGTCTTTTTCCATGTAGAATTACAAATTATTGTAGACTTGACATTCTCATTTGTTTCTTTATTGATGATTCACTGTCATGATCTCACAGCAAGTAAAAATAATTTCTGATTGATTTCCAGCTGCCAGTAGAATTTTTGAAAGATGTTGTAGTAAAAGCTCATTGATGTGTTTGTACCTACTAGCCTTCTGATCCAGACCCAGTCTCTTGTATATAATCAAAGTGCAATGGGGGAGACTTGATGTCCTGTCTTGCATTCTATTTAAGAAAAAGTGCAGTCATTTATGTGAAGTCCTGTGCTCATATTTATCTGTGGGTTTTGTGAGATCCCCCAATAAAGTCAAGATTGAGGGACAAGGACAGTCCATTCTTTTTGCTTTAAAGGAATGTATTTCCAGCTTCAGTGGCTTCTGAGTAGGATGACTGTGAGCAACAACACAAGGAGTTCAGTATGAGGAATAGCTGAGCACATCCATGAGTAAGTGGGGCCAGAAGAATTTATTCCCAGGGCTGTCAGTTTTGCCATCTGGAAGCACATGTGCTCCCCTTGCTGGTTTTGCATGTCTATTCCCACACCATCAGTCAATCCCCATTCCTCTGTAGTTTTTCTCCTCTTCATATCTTCACTGAGGGATGTCATTACTCACTCCTCAGAGGGAATTCTTTGGAGACCGCATCTATCCTCCACAGGAATCAAATCACAGTCTGCTGTGTCTCACCAGGATTCAGCAAGGGCCATCTCAGATTGTGGATATAATTCACCAGGAATAGAGTCACAAAGAGGGCTGGTTTGTGTTTTCTTCTTGGTAATACAGGGAATTCACCCTCAGAGAATTTATGGAAAGGTCACAAATAAGAGCGTTCTGGGTGTTCACAGGAATAAGTTACTTACTGGCAAGTCTTGTTTGTTTACATCCTCCATAAGGATCACATGGAATCCCAGGATTTAATCCTGGGTCTGGATATTTGATTGTGAGTAGCTCTTGGGATATCTGTCAGAATATTTGTAGTCCATACGCAGTCAGCTGTGGGGTCTTATGATAACGATGTTTTAAGATAAAGTACATAAATGAGCTTTTCCATCCCACCAGTGAACATCCCAAAGTGTTCAGCTAATGGCCCAGTATAACAGTTCTGATGTTGCTGAAAACAAGCCCCAATTTGTTCAAATTGATTCTAAGGCAACAGGAAATGCAGAAAGTCATGCAAGTGCCTTGTTTGAATGGAGCCAGCACAGGGAAGGGCACAGTGCAAGGCTGGCAGTGAAAGAGGGAGAGCTGGAGGCTGAGACAGTGGATTCATCAGGGAATCCACACTGAAAACAGCATGGCAAGAAGATGTACCAGGTGATCAGTTTTCACTGCAGGAGATGGCACAAGTTTCTGCTGCACCCTTTACACTCAGGTAGGCACCTGTGTGTATGTGTTGTGCATGTAAGTGTGTAGCAGTGCAGGATGTGTGGAGAAGGGCTGCTCTTCACTTTAGACATCTAATTGAAGCACATCAAAAAGGTGCCTGGAGTTAAGAAGCTAAATCAGGCCTCTTTTCTCTTAATCCTTTCTGTAAAATGCAGTTAAAAGCACTTTCTCTGCATTCCAGTTTGACCAAGCTCCAAGCAGTGTGTGGAGTGTTCAGCTTTTCCTTCACTGACTGTGTGTATTTTGCACTCTGTAAGTTAAAATCTGGACTTGTGTAGAGTGTGGCACCCATATCATAAGGCCATGGCAAAGCTGAGGCTGGGGTGGCAGAGCAGAAGCATGTGATGGTCTGATCCCAGTTATGTGACATTTGGCTCTACCTGCAGCCTTAAAATGGAGCTGGAAACACAGCATCAATTGGAGATAGCTGGAAAGGTCTTGCATGACCCCACAAATGCTCACTGATCAGAAAAATTACACTTGAGGGACTCATGGCTGGGTTTCTGGAACAGTTAGAAATCTATCCTTGCCCAGATGGTGCTGGAGATGCACCAAGAAAGCTCCTCAGAGACGTATCACTCATCTCTTTTGTCTCTCCAGAAGCTTGTGCAGTTGAATTAATATATATATATTTGGTTCATTTCTTCCTGTAAGTCTGGGACCGGTAGATTAGGTTCTCCTGGACAAACAAGGAAAACCAGAGTGGATTTGTAGGAATGGAAATTTGCTCAGTGGTGACACAGCAGAGATTGAAGTGGAGTTTTTAGGGGACCACAATTTACTGGTTGGTGCTTTGTAAGAAAAAAAAAAACAACAAAACACTTTTTATCCTAGCATGTATTAGTGTATTAGCAGGAAAGTAATGTGAGGCACAGGGTGATTAATTGTGCCACTCTGGGAGTCTTTGTGGACTGAGGGAGTGAAAGACACACTGGAGAACAAAGGAGACCCAAAAGAACAACTAGAGGTCTAAAACTCTGGTGCTATGGAGGAAGCTGGAGGAAATGAATTTATTTAATCCAGAAATCAAATATGAAGGGTAGGATTTGCTGAGGACAGTCTTCCCGTGGTGAAAGGTAAGAGGCTGAATCTATTCTCTGACTGCTGTAGGAAGGATGGGGAAGTGCTGAACTTCCAGCAAAACACATTTCAAGAAAGCTTTCCCAGGTTTTCCCTTATTAGACAGGAGGCTTCACATGGGGGTTTTTGTGGTTTTTTTTACCATAGCAGATCCCCTGAATATGTTGCAAGGTAATACATGTGGAAACTGGATCATGTCTTTGAGGGTGGAAAGATTGCTCCTCTGGGCTTGGGATGGGATTCAGTGGCATTGGGAAGCAGAGAATTTGAATGGGTGGGAGAGGTATAACTGCGCACAATGATCTGGCTTGCAGGAATGTCCAGTGACATCTGCAAATCTCCCATGGACTCAGGGAATTTTCACATTTACAATATAACACTAGGACTGACTACAAAGAATAAACCAGAATAAATTCCCAAACAGACCATTTCTGTGAATGAGACCATCACAGTTACAATTACTGGATAGATGATCTCAAGGGAATTTTCTAAGGATTTAACCCTTATATTTAAAAAATCCCAATCAGTCCTAAGGAATGAGGAAGGGAGGGGAGATAAGATGATACCCACACCTCTTCCAGAATGGAATACCTGTGGGTTTTGCACACTGCAGGATATATTAAGTCTGTAAGGCTGATCTAAGATTATCTGGGCAGAGAAAATGCAATAAATCCCTGACATTCTCTGGATTTGATGGAGCAGTACCCATTTTGAGGGCCAGTGGGGGAATGTTCTGTTCCAAAGAGGTTAGTTGAATGGATTACTTCAGTGAACAGAGACACATTTGAATATTTTTCTTAATTGCCAACAGTCTAGTTTACCAAGAGCTGCTTTCTTAGAAGTGGTCTGTCTCTAAAAAAAAAAAAAAAAAAATCAGATAAATCAGTCTAATACTTACATTGCTTCTTTGATTCCACCAAATATAGATCAGGGAGTCAGGGTAGGAATCTTGAAAACTTTTCTCTAAAATTTAAAGAGATAAAGCCTTGCTGTCTGAACTCTTTGGCTGGAGGTTCCAGAAGTAAATTGTAGTTTCCTTATTTTTGCTTGCAAGGTTTTAATCAGGCTCTGGGAAATGAATACAGTGGGACAATTTTTCTTGATCTCACTCTTGTTTTAGTGAATGCTGAAAAACTGAAGGGAAGGTAGAACTCCCTTTTTTTTCAGGCTAAAACTCAACAGACTTTCAGAGGCTTGGGCTTTTCAACAAAGGTTTTGTGTGGGATTTTTGATTTTTAAATTTCAACCTGTTTTCTCCTACTTCAGTGTTTTTTGTATTGAAGATATATTGAGATAATTTCACATCCTCTGAAGTGGTTTTCCAGGTATTCTTTGGCTTTGATGGAAGAGAATTAGTGTCCATCACAAAAGCACCAAAAAAAATTAACAATTTGCTTCTGTTGTGTGGCAGGGGGCGTTAATGGAGCCACCAATGCTGAAGCTGGCCCAGGGTGAAGAACTTTGATCTCCCTGACTGCTTTTGATGTTTGGAAGCCCCAAAGCTCCTGGGTTTTCCATGGAGTGGTGTTGCTTTCAGAGTTACACCTGCCTGCTCAGCACAGGGCTCTGGACCTGAGGAAACACAACAGAAAACCAATACCTAGTTTAATGTTCCTGCCTCCCTTGTTGCCTGTTCTACTGAAAAATTATGTCCAACCGCAACTGATGGGATGAAGTTCCAAAGGGGAGCAGAGATAAATTATCCATCCCAAATGGAGTCACTAATTTTAACCCTCCTGTTCCCCTATTTATAGTGAGTTACTGGGTCTTGGACAAGATGGGATTTAATGGGAGTTTGGTGTGATTCAGTTCTTCAAATAAAGCATCCTTTCTCTGCAAAATTAGTTACTCATTTATGCTGAATGAGGAATGAAAAACAGAATTTAAGGATCTAATTAACATTTGCTTCTCCTTCCAACAGATCAGTCTTTACACTCATAAAATTGGTGAAAAAAGTATTTTCAGTTACTTTCTACTCATCTGAAAATCTTCCAGCTTCCACAGGATCTGAATTTCCAGATAAAGAAACCAAACATGTAAAAAGAAAAGCTAGAAATAATATTCTGCTACTTTTATAAAAGGACAAATGTAATTTTTGTGTGCATTTGTATTCACTTTTAGCCCAGCAGTGATTACTGTATGTGCTAAAAGTACCTGTTAACATTAAAGCTCATTCACACATTTTTTGTTTTGACATAACTTGAGTGGGCACAGTTTAAAAATATCTATTTTTTTATCCTGATTAACATATTCCCATCTAGGAATAGGTAACATACCATTATGACAATCTGACTGTGTCTAAGTAAAACAGTATTATCTTTACCACCAGACTGGCATAATTAAAGCAGTATTGGAAAGCTATAGTTCAATGTTATTGCTTTGGATATAAACCAAGGGATGCTACAATATTTTAAAAAAAGGTGTTTCTTCTCAGAAGTCAGGACTACAGGACTTGATTCAGAGTTCTTAATTCTGGAAATAATTTTGAAGTTTACTAAAAGTGCCATTTTTAGTAATAAAAATAACAAAATGAAAAATACAGAAGTGTATTTATAGTAAGAATAATGAAGATTTATAGGATAATGATAGTTGCAGAGCTCCTAACCTAGGAACCCTTTATTGAACAGAATGATTGAATGTTTGGCTTTTAAAAAAAGAGAGAGAAAAAAATCAAAAACCAGATGAATAATGAAAAACAAGTCCTTTCTCTGGTGAAAAGCCAAATTTGTGTTTTGAAAATTAAATATTTTTTGGGTTAAGCAGTGAAAAAATAGACTTTATCTTTGCAACAGGTTGGATTTATTATTGGAACTGTCGGAATCTGTGGGTATTGATGATTCCGAGATTGTATAAAATCTC